GATACTTTTGTTAGGAAAATGAAAGGGATGGCCAGACTGAGGTTTCTTGGGGCTTACTATTTGACTGAGCCGATAAATAGAAATAAAATAAAAACATAATGTGTTTTCTAGCTGTCTAGGTAGTTTGCATCTAGTTAGTGGCAGGGGACCCATTTTGTAGGTATGTTTATGATAAGGGTCATTTTCCTAGGTGTATGGGGAATTTTTTAGTGTAAGATCTAGCTTTAGAACAGGAAAGAAACTAGCAAATGAGTTCTGTGGGAGGAAAGTGTGCTTTTTAATAGCCTTACATCTAGAGCATCTGGTTGGAAAATATTTAGGGTATGATGTTCCAAAAATGATAGCAGCTACAACAGAGCTATTGCTCTAAAATACCTACATTCCTCTAACTAAGCAAGACTGTGCTAATTATAAAATTAAACATAAAGCTTGATTCTGGTAATATAAGAATGTCCTTTTTGGAGTGGTTATAAGTTAAGCCAGTTGTGTTTCAGTTATTGTAATTCTGAATGCTGGACATGAAGAATTAGCATATATGTTTGTTGGGCAGCAATCTGTACAATGCACGACATAGCTGTGCCATTTGGAACTGTCTTTCATTTATGTAGGCACACAGGGGAGTGTTACATTTGTAGTGTAACTGCTGATGAACTTGTTTGCCAGATATTTAACATGATGGTATTTAAACCTCTTAGGAGGAGAATAGCTGCTGAACCGAAAACAGCATCCTCGTACTCCAACCAAACTATCACTTACTGTGTGCTTTCAGCTAGGAACAGCTTAAGTCTATAGCCAGCTATATACATTCGCATGCAAGTATTTGTAATTTCAGTGTTTTTAAGAATTATAAGAGAAAACATTAACAAATTAATTTTTAGGGACTGATAGATTTTCCTCTTCAAAAATTTGGGTGCTTGAGAATTATCTTTAAGCAGCAGCTCATATACAGATACACACGTCTAGGGAATTTTTATGGAATTGGAGAGGCTGCTCGTTTGTATGACTATTTTTACTTGTATTTTACTTTGATGTATTTGTGAAGGAAATTCATTGATATATATACGTGCGTAATAAAAGTCAGCTGACAGGTACCATAATATTGGGCCCTTCATTGAAATTCAGCATCCTTTTTGACTCAAACTGCAGTAACGGGTAAGCTGGGGAAGTTCAAAGAGAAGCCTTTCATCTTCGTAGCTGCACAAGGAGCAGTTGCAGGGCACTTGCTCTTTATAATGAGGTTGTCCCTTCTCAAGATCTGTGAGTGTCTGTAGCAGGTTGCTGTATGTGCACGAGGCTGATGATGATCCCACAAGGATTAGTGGTAAAGCAAGCACTGTTCTGCTTACCATGCATTGTAAACACATCTGGATTTTTTTTTTTTTGTGGATGCAAGTTGGTCAGTCAGACTTCTGCCTTCTGCAGTGTGACAGCGCAAGGTGAAAATCAATTATTTGGAGTTGGTTTATGCTTTAATGTGGTATCTTTTAAATACGGATGGTTCCTATTCTTGTTCGAAATGGGATTCATGTTTCTTTGGTCTACAGCAAAAAAAAAAAAAAAAAAAAAAGAGGCTCAGCTAAGGGATGTGCATTGTATTATATATTCACCCATAATGAACTTCAAGTCAGGAAATGAAAAGAGAGGGAAAAAGTGGACATGAGAATTCAGAGGGATGTTTGATGTCACAATCTTAGCTTCAGTTTCATATTCCCTGTACCTCAGCTGGGATCTTTGGATGATGTCATTCATGGACATAATAGAATCAATGAATCACAGAATCACAGAATGGCCAGGGTTGGAAAGGACTTCAAGGATCATGAATCTCCAACCCCCCTACCACATGCAGGGCCACCAACCTCCCCATTTAATACTAGGCCAGGCTGCCCAGGGCCCCATCCAGTCTGGCCTTGAACACCTCCAGGGACGGGGCATCCAAATAAGAGGACATGCAAAGCTGAGAACTGCTGTTGTCTGTCAGGCTTCTAGTAATGAAGATTTCAAAGCAACTTTGAAAAGGGATGCCTGGCAAAGTCCATCTGCATAAATGCCCTGGGCCGCCATCATGTAGGAAATCTACCCTAAGTCATAATGGAGTTTGGTTGAGGTGACATTCCCTTTCACCTGAAATTTATATGGAAAAACTTCTCTGGAACCTTCTACAAGATTCCAGGAACTGGAGGGATAGGTGTCCTGCATGTTTAGCAAGGGAATAAAAAGACTTTGAAAATGATTTCATTCTGTAGACTCAGTAATTTGACAGAACTGTGAGGTAAATGGGTACATTGGTATTCCCTCCAACTTACATCAGCAAAGTCTAATGTTAGATGTTCCTTGTGGGGAATAATGCACGTTTGAATAAGATTTTTAAGTCTCCTGGACAGACTGTTGAAAAACAACTCTTTAAATGTATTAGCTCTTTAGTTTGTTTTGCCTGCGTTGATAAGAAGCTCTGATCTCCTATAGTTCTGTTCTTTTACAACTCAGTGTTTTTGTATGTTAAAAAAAGGTGAGTTGTTCAGTTAAATGCAGTGTGACATTATGCATGTGATACTGCAATTGGCTTAATTTATGAGTCTTCTGGGTATGAATTGTTTATCTGGACAAAGAGACTATCTACTGTAAAATGAGTTTACAGAAAAGTATTGAACAGTGGTGGTCTTTTTTTTCCGTATAAGGAGATGGCTGTTTGAAGCAGAGACCTTGCAGACTTTGAGTGACAGCATTTTTAGGACAGTTAGATGAAAAATGAAGCAGAAAAGTTAAAACGCATGTAAACATCGTTGTCACTTAGAGCAATGGCAGCTGAAGTGCTCACTGTGTGACTGGACACCACCACCTCTTCCTGTGTGCAGTCCCTTTTCCTGTACAGAGCAGCCCTTCAGCTCACTTGCACTGAAAAGCTTTTTGTGAGATCTCCTCTAGTTGTAGAACAATACATCTGAGGCTACTCCTGGTCTTCTGCCTTGATTTCCAAACTGAGAGACAAACACGTCTCTCACTTTGCATTTGAAGTTTTTGAAGCTGCAACTGCTGTCCTTCACGTGCAGAGTCTCACTCTTAAGTTGTGCCTGGTTCATGCTGTATTCTGATTTCAATGGCCACTGCTGTGAGATGAGATTTCTCAGCTAAAAATATTGCTAGTTGTTGGTGACCTGTGTTCATCTGATTAACCTGGCATGCTTGCATGGGTGAGAGAGCTCAGGCTGCCTGGATGCCCTTTGCTTTTGGATTGCTGGAGCTGGGTGATGTGGGAACAGCTGTATGCGAAGTAGGGAGAGCACTGAGACTGGGGGAACATAGTTAAAAAGTAGAGCCTTTAACTGATTTGTACCACTGTAGTCACAGAGTCATAGAATATCCTGGGCTGGAAAGGGCATGTAAGGATCCCCAAACCCAGCTCTCGGCTCCATGCAGGACCACAAGAAAATCAGAGCATGTATCCGTCTGAGAGTGACGTCCAAGCACCCCTTAAGCTCTGGTACCTCGGGGCCGTGCCCACAGCCCCGGGCAGCCCGTTCCATGCCCACCGCCCCCTGTCCCTGACCCCCACCTGCCCCTCCCCTGACAGCTCCATGCCGTTCCCTGGCCCTGTCGCTGTCACACACAGCAGAGCTCAGCGCTGCCCTCCACTCCCTGTGAGGAGCTGCAGCCGCCATCAGGCCTCCCCTCAGCTCCTCTGCTCTGTGCTGAACAAACTCAGGGTCTTCAGCTGCTGCTCGTACATCTTCCTCTCCAGACCTTTCACCATCTTTGCAGCCCTCTTTAACTTTCCTAATACATAGAAGTCCTTTCTTCCTGGCTGACTGGTCAGCTGTCCTGCTGCAGTGCTGTGCGAGCAGGTGGGAGCGGTCTGATGTGGGCTCCAAGGTGGTTCTGCTGTGGGAAGCGAGTGCGTGAACTTGGCCCGCTGCAGGGATCGGTTGTTCAGTGATGCTGGATTGTCCAGGCTTCCAGCCTTTCGCAGGACTACACCTGTTGTTAGTGCAACAGTGAAGGAAGGGTTTGTTCCCTAAGCCAGGACCTTAATTTCAAGCTCACTTCTTTCTGTTAGGACTTCTCAGTTCGGTTATTACTATGCTGTATGTAATCTGTACCTTCTGTGACAATGGAAATTGCATGGGCCTGATGAAGAGCTCAAGGTGTATTGAGACTATTGGTAAACTTGCTCTATTTCCTTAAAAAAAAAAAAAAAAAAAAAGAAAGAAAAAAAAAAGTGTGAAGCCTGTATCCTTCTTATGCCAAATATAGTATTCTTTTCAGTAAGATGTCTCTTAGTTATGTCTATCTCAGAAGCATTTGTAGATAACAAATACATTTGGTGCCAATAATAGCACTCAGTAGTTCCAAGCTAACTTAAAGTACAAGACCATAACAAAACTCTAAAAAAAATGGTACCCTGCCAGGTTGTTATTGAGGTGACAGCTATAGAGAAACAAAAGTAGTTCCACTGGAGTTGGGAGAGGCCAGGACTTTTAACATCTTGGCCAGTCCTTCAATTGACTCTCAGCAAAAATTAAATCTCTGTGAATATAGGGAATATGGGCAAAATTACGAGATTATTGCAATGAAAATAACAGGAAAAGGAAATACTGAAATTAGACCTTTCATGTCTGAAAAACCAGTATTGGCCTTTTGAAACATTGCCTTTCTGGTGATCTTTGCAAAGCATGTGGAAGAAGTTGGTCCTTTATGGTCAAAATCTTTCCAGAAAGAGTTTAGCTGTTTCTCAAGGAGGACACAGTACAGTGCATGTATTTTTGTGATGCAAGGAATATAGATGCACTGCCTGCTACTGTTAAAAAAGCCTTCCACTATGTGTAATCCCTTCAGTGATGCAGTTAAAGAGCTGACTCTTGTGGATGTGCTGGTGACTGCCAGTAACAGCAGCTCTGATCTAGCATTTAGTATTTTAATATTGTATATGGATACCAGCATAAAATTTCTGAAAATGGTTAGCAAATGCATTATATGTTATTTCTCTTTTCCTTTCGTGTTTCTAGTCTGGGACTGTGAAGCTGACCAAACCTGTGGCATTATGGACCCAGCAGGATGTCTGCAAATGGCTGAAGAAACATTGCCCTAATCAGTATCAGATCTACAGTGAGTCATTCAAACAGCATGACATAACTGGTAAAGTATGCACTATCGGAAATATTTTACTTAAGATGTAACAAAATGTTTTACTTTGTTGGTAATAGACTGTGGCTGTACATTGAGGGGGTTTTGTTGATTGTATGACTCCAGAGTTCCAAGGTCTAGAGCAGGGGGACTATCCACTGATTGGTAAGGGATTCTCCTCTCCCTCTAAAACAGAAGTTTCAGATTATTCAAGATTAAAACAATAAGGAAAGAAGTCAGTCTTTACGAGGGTAAGGGCCACACCCTGTTCATTACAATTGAAACCCCAACTGTTAAGAAATATCTCATGAGAAAAAAAGAAAATTGTTTTTTTCCATTGAGAAATATTTTTTTAGGTTATGTTTATATTCTTGGGGCTGGAAAGTGAGATCAACTGTTCCTCTCCCTGGGGCTGAATCGGGATTAACATAGCAAGTTTTTTCTTACACACATTTGTCTAACTCTGTTCTGGAAAACTGACAATGAAGAATATTTTTTATCTCTTCATTCTAGTGCTTTATGGTCCTTACAATTAATAAAAGAAATAGTATTTCTGCCAGTGAAACTGATTTCTGTCCCATAAGTAGCCGGAATACACATCATCATTTGCTTTCTTGCATGTGTTCCTTTATTTGATAAGGAGCTTCCCACTTTATGAATTTTTCTTGACTAGTCTAAAAAGTATTCATTCTGTCACATTTTTTCCCTCAAACACCCATAAGACATCTAAACCCTCATCACTTGCTGTCTTGTCAGCTAACCATACATTAAAAAGCATCCTTGTATTTTATTTTCTTATTTGCTTTATAAGTTGATATTGATTTTGTTGATCTCATTGGCTTTTTAACTCCTTTTCAGTTTCCAGTAGTAGTATATTAACTGGCCACTTTGAATTGGCATCGTTCAGCTGAGTAGCTGGACTAATACAAATACAGCTGTAACTTGGGAGTTAAAGAGCATTTTTACTCATATCACAGGAATTATTTAGTCTGTAAAAAGTTTCATGTGGAACATTAATTTGTTCTCTGAAGTGGTGGTATACAAAACATGGAATTGACATTCAACCATTTAGTGTCACACAGTGATTTCTGTTCCACATGCAAACTCATTGTAACAATAATATATTGTTAACTTTTGCATGTTCATTGCCTGTTTGTATACGTGTACTCGTGGTGTTTCAAATTTTCCATTGATTCCTTTTGTTACTCTTTCCTTTTTGATAGTGTAAGTAATTGCAAACAAAGCAAATTGAACTACTAACCTTCAGTTGCTATAAGGCCCTGAATAAACATTTGCACTAATATGGAAGAGATTTTTTGTTTCAAGTTGGTAAATGTTTAGTTTTTGTACATAATTACTGCACCTATTTCCTCTAAGTTGTCATCTGTTTCTCAGTATCTTGAATGTAGTCCTTAAAAACGGAGTCTGCATCTTCGACAAGTGTACAGAGCTGACTGGCTCCAGAGAGCTAGCAGAAAAGTTTGAAATGAAGCTATTTTTCCTTTTCTCTAGTACTGTTTTACTATTACGTTGTCTCTTTAGAATTAAAGCTTTACGAGATGAAGTTGAAGAAAATGTTTTTCTTTTCAACTAAATGTACATGGATAGCATTGTAGATAGGTGAAAATTCAAACTTTGTAGACCTCAATGAGAAGAGAAAATCAAAATTGATCTTGAGAGAGGTATACAGAGGATATTAGCATGAGCGTTAGAAAATAAGCCTACAGTAAAAATAAAGAAATAAATAAAATTAAAAGTAGGATTTCATGGTCCTTGTGGGTCGCTTCCCACTCAGAATGTTCATAACAGAAGGAGTGAAATAATGTTTGTACAGATTTTACGAATTATTGTGATAATGAGTGAAATGAAATCACAGGAGTAAACTTCCAGCGCCGTTTATCCTATGACTCAAATTACTTGAAATCTACCAAAGGGGGAGAACAGTAGATTTTGGGCTCAAAAAAAGTAAAACATGAAAGGAACATGAAAACTACTATGAAGATTAAGCCAAGATAGTGTAACTGTTTCCAGATATGCTTACGCAAAAGTGATGTGATTGTTGAAAATTTCTCAGGAATTAAGTTGACTTTACAGGCTTCTTTGATATGGAAAAATACAGTAAAAAGGACTTGAAGAAAATGACAAGAAAAGGATATTTATGATTTATTTGAAGATAAAATCTAAGGCCTGGTCACAAGCCAGGAATAAAAACCTTGGAGAAACTTATCTATAGGTTGTCACCTTAACCAATGGTGTTGAAAAGCACAATGTTCTGAGTATTTGGAATGTTAGTTGCTGATTACAGTTTATTGGGTTGGGGCAAAAATGCAAAGCAAAATATCCTTTGTAGAGAATTTATAAATTTATGCTACTCCTGACAAAAAGCAGCTGCAGTGTATAAGAAAAAATGATCTGTTGTTATACCTAGCAAGAAAGAAGTAAATTTATATGAACAGTGGTCTCAATTATGGCTTGATTCAGTGTTTTTTCATTAGATTTCCAACAATTCAAGGGCAATGGCTGATGCTTTCTAGGGAGGGCAAAGCCCCTTGTACCCCATGTAGGATGGGACTTAATGGCTGGGGAAGCTTTGTTGAAGGGGACTTGCCTGGTAGACAGAAAGGTGAAACTAGCCATTAGTGTGCCTTGGCAGGTTAAAAAAAGCCATCAGAATCCTGAACAGTGTTAATAAGCACGTAGCCAGCAGATAAAGGGCAGTGGTTGTGGTTCTTAGATTCCAGTTCTTGGACCTTGAATGCTGTTAAGAGATTGACAAACTGGAACAAGTTCAGGTGGGTACCACCCAGCTGCTCAGAGCTGGATCACTTGCAGTGTGAGCAAGGGCTTGAGTGAGCTGGGCTTGTTCACCCTGGAGAAAAGGTGACTTGCCAGGGATAAGATGGGAGACTAGCAGGAGCCCCAGGTGCATAGAAATGTTATCAGAAAGATGAGGCCAAATTCTTCATGATGACAGTACACTTAAGTTGAAGTGAGAGGTTAAAGCTGAATGTATTAAGAAACTTTTGCCTCATGAGCACAGTTGATATTGGAACAAGTTGTTCACAAGGTTGTGCTGTCTCCGTCCTGGGAGGATTTCAAGCCCCAGCTGGAAAATGCCTTCAGCAATGTGATCTGATCTCATAGCTGACCTGCTTAGAGCAAGAGGCTGGACTGGAAATCTCCCGAGGTGCCTTGCAACCTGAATTCTCCAGTGATCCTATGATTTGCTAAGTAATTACAAGCACCTCAGAACCAATTAAATGCATTTTGCAGCCAGATGGAGAAGATAAAATACAGAAAGGCCCAGTAAGAATTTGGGATATGTTTTGTAAACACAAAATCCTTGTGATCAGTGAGCGGAGCATCTGGATGACTTATTAAGCAAATGGGTCAAAGGTTATTTAACCAGAACCAAAACAATGTAAAAGGCCAACTCTGATCAAGATCTAAGGGTTCCTGGAATGAATACAGAAAAATAAGACAATAAAAAGGAAGGAACAAAAATGACAGTGGCCTGTGCAACCAGGAACACAGTGGTAATAGCATGAGCTTGTCACAAGAGGGTCTTCAGTAGAAGATGACTTTTACACCAATGTGAAGGAGTATAAAAAGTTGTCCTGACTGTACAGCCCTACTTTATACCAGTTTAGTCTGTGCAACAAAAGTGAGAAATGGACTGAGCTTTTGGTGTTTGCATATGTCTTTGAATTTGCCAGACAGCAACAGATGTAAATGACTAGGGAGTTCTTGAGGGGTGAATTGTTCCTTGGCAGTATTATCCTGTAGCACTGAAATAAATTATGGTTTTTGCAATGTCTCAGAATTAATAGGAAGATTTGTCTTAGAACGACTAAGGAATCACCATTTTTAGGAAAACAGTTCATTGACAAAGTAATAAATAAGATGTCTAAAGATCTACTTATTGATGTGTGATTTGTTGAAAGGAAGGAAGGAAAGAAACCCGCTTCACCTCTTGTTTTTACACCCTGCTCCCCAGTGTGCTAATGCATGTCTTCAGAGCATGAGGTTTTAATGTTATGATCATTAAACAAACCTCATTCTGTCAAGGTAATACCCAAGAGGTACCTTGGTCCAAGTGAAGAAATTTGAAAGGGGGTACTTGAAAGGACTCAAGCCTTTTTAAATTAAACTTTTAAGGAGGAAAGGAACAGGACTCAAGAAAAAGCCTTTTTAGTTTCAAAAGGAACCAAAATTTTATGAATATTCATTAAATACCAAATGGCACCTCAGAAAATGAGGTATGAGCTGCTACTGAAAACCTACAAATAGCCTCGTGATCTGGATAATTCTATAACCTTTTAATGTGCTTGCATCAACTATTTGCCTTATACAACTTCATCAACTGTATGCCTTATATTTTTATGAAATTCCTATAAAAATAATGCTTTTAAAGACAGAAACTTTTTCTTTTCATTTGATTAACATATTTGCAAAATGTTAGGATTATGTCACAGCAGCTGAAATATGTTATGAGCACGTTGGTGAAAGGATGATCTTGTGATTTAGGATACTGTTCTGGAATTTGGCTCTATTTCAGGTTATTCTGCTATTGGAGAGGTAGCATTAGAGAATCCTAGGGACTGAAGTTACTCTATCCATATAGAGAAAGGGCCTCTCTTTTATGATCACAGTGCTGCTAGATACATTTCCAAGATACACAGTTAGGTTATACACTGTCTCACACAATTGAGTGAATTTGGTCTACAAAGCAGGCAGTAATGGATGGGTGAGAGGCCTGAGATGGAGAGCAGGAGGCTTGGATCTCATTCCCAGCTCAGCTTCACGGCTCAGGGGGTGGGAAGGGTGATGACAAGCAGGTGATTTCATTCACCATGTGATATCTTTCTGATCATGTTCATCCTCCTCATTCACGTTTTAGTGTCTGCACAACGGAGATAACGATAGTGGTTTTTAAATAATTGCATTGTGATACTGAATAAAAGATGCTTAAGAGCCAGCTGAGTCTTCCTGTTAACGGTCCTTTTTATTTG